GAACAATCTACTAGTGTATTTAAGGTGTACTTGCGTAACTATACGTAAACTTACATACGATTATTTGTATTCGACTTGAGGGTATATATTGTAATATATATTGTATTCTCTATTTTCATAATCATTTAAAATTGAAAAGGAAAAGAGATGTAAAAAGGAAAAAAAAGCAGTGAAAAATTTACAGCGCAGAAGGAAAACAAATAATATCACACATATATTATATGTATCGTAATCATCAAAGAATTGAACGAACGATTAGGAAAAATATATTGCAAAATGTATTTTACAAAAAAAAAATTATAAAAAAACACGCAGAGCTAAAACAGTTCTGATAATCACCGAAACATTAAAAAAAACATAAAAAATTGGATAACTGAGACAATAGTGCAAGTCGCATGCTATCGTAAACTAAACAGGAAAAGATTTAAATAAGAAAATTTTAAAAAAAGAGAATAAATAAGATTACAATAAATGCTATACTTTCGACTAAAAACTAAAGTTGTAATACATCGTATATTTATGTTTATCGACAGCCACGATAGATTATTGATGCAGAGACAAAACCATAGAATATTCAGGTATACTCGCGAACGGAAATCAAAGGATGGAAAAAAACTGATACCTCTTTTTTTTCTTTTTTCCACAAAGTTTGACTTAATATATGCGATAGAATTACATATACGAGAGTTTATTTCTTCATGTCTATGAACAAAACTTATCGCCTTCATTTCGAAAAGAGTAAAGGCAATATTATTTTTGCTATACTTAATGATATAATGCGCAATTATTTAATTGTTTGGTCAGAAAATGCGTTGATTCAACATCGACACAATTTATAATGCGCTGGAATTATTTAATTCATTCACATATTTACGCGATATAGATACAGCATGCCAATGCCATGTGTTTACAAACTATATTGAATCGCGCTGAATAGAAACATATTAAACTAAAATTGATCAACGTTTCACACAATACGACAGCGATAATAAATAGGACATAAAAGAATATTTAAAAAAAAATAAAATATAACAACGTTACTCAGTCAATAGCTTTTACACATAAGACACTGGTCAATTGCATGTCATTAAGTAAAAAAAAATCATGTGTTATTTATTTTCTTCAATTTTTTTTATATTTCTAAATATAAGGAAATAATATTATAGATAAGATATCGAACATTAATAAAAATTAAACTTTAGTAAATCTGCTAAATAAAATTGATTACATTTGATTACTATTAACAGATAAATACTATTAAAAGATAATTATTTTTTTTTTATTTACGTAATTAACAATCTGTTATAAAAAATAATTAGCTAAACGAATGATTTATATATAATATAACCGCATAGATACTTTTATCGCGCACATATGAAGTTATTCTGTTATACTGCAAAAGAAAATAACTAATAAAAAAAATTATATTATATGGAACAATTCGCATATAGTGTGTTGAAGAAAAATTTGTATTATCAAAATATATAAGCAAATAGTCTTTAATGTATTTAAAAAACTATTATTTAAATTAAATTTATTAAATAAAATTATTATTTAAATGTTTTTGCTCAATCTCAGAAATTGCCAATAAGTCTGTGCAGGTATTTTTTATTAGGAAAATATTTAAAACTCATTCTTGATTAGCAACTGGAATGTATCTTGCCCATCTTTCGATGGCTTATTGATATTCTTCGGTCTTGCCGTGGCGCGAAATGCTTTGAGAAAAGCATGCCTTTATCCTATCCTTCCATTCGCTAATTATAGCTTTACTTTGAAAGGTAGCGGTACTTTTAAACTCGTATAGCTAAACGAATGTATTATATATAATATAACCGCATAGATACTTTTATCGCGCACATATGAAGTTATTCTGTTATACTGCAAAAGAAAATAACTAATAAAAAAAATTATATTATATGGAACAATTCGCATATAGTGTGTTGAAGAAAAATTTGTATTATCAAAATATATAAGCAAATAGTCTTTAATGTATTTAAAAAACTATTATTTAAATTAAATTTATTAAATAAAATTATTATTTAAATGTTTTTGCTCAATCTCAGAAATTGCCAATAAGTCTGTGCAGGTATTTTTTATTAGGAAAATATTTAAAACTCATTCTTGATTAGCAACTGGAATGTATCTTGCCCATCTTTCGATGGCTTATTGATATTCTTCGGTCTTGCCGTGGCGCAAAATGCTTTGAGAAAAGTATGCCTTTATCCTATCCTTCCATTCGCCAATTATAGCTTTACTTTGAAAGGTAGCGGTACTTTTAAACTCGTATATAAAATTGTATAATCTATTGAGAAGCACAACAAGAACGTAATTATATACAAACGCCATTTTTTTCATTGTATTTAGATTCGACATCGGCACACGAACCACTTTTAACTTCCCGGATTTAAATTCATTCGATTTTCTTCAAGAGGCATGCAGTTTTTTTCAAATTAATCAAGTGCTCCTCCTAATTTACCCTTTTTTTTAACTTCGGAATATCTCTATCTCTTTCTCCCCCCCCCACTTTCTCTCTCTCTCTCTCTCTCTCTCTCTCTCTCGAAGATGCTCTTTTAATGCAACACGCGAATTTTTTTAATATCGCAAGAGCATTTTTTAATTCTTCTAAATTTTCAGCGTCTATTCTTATTTTTTATACGTTTTGTTTTCGCGAAAATAAATATCACACATATATTATATGTATCGTAATCATCAAAGAATTGAACGAACGATTAGGAAAAATATATTGCAAAATGTATTTTACAAAAAAAAAATTATAAAAAAACACGCAGAGCTAAAACAGTTCTGATAATCACTGAAACATTTAAAAAAACATAAAAAATTGGATAACTGAGACAATAGTGCAAGTCGCATGCTATGAGCATTTTTTAATTCTTCTAAATTTTCAGCGTCTATTCTTATTTTTTATACGTTTTGTTTTCGCGAAAATATTATCCCCTCGCGATATGATTTTTTTTTAAGGTAAATTCTCTTACACGCATAAATATAATATATCATACGAAAAGCGTGCTTTAATCTTCTTATATCTCCTATATAGAATAGCAGCAAAATTTATTTGCATATTGCTCATATGTTAAATTTACATAATTTATTGACGCAAACAAAGAATTCAATTGTTTATTAAATAATCAATTTTTCTCTTTCCTTTTCTTTTTAATAACTTACAAAGAATTGTTTTTTGATAATCTACAATTCATCAGAATACAAAAAATATTAATTTTTCAATTTTTCAAATATAAATAGCCTGTCTGCTCTTTCTTCTTATATGTGCTTCAAGCTCTAATAAACAGCAAATATATAATTGGAATTGACATTTCTTAAATATTTGAGGATTATATCCAGATTAATAATTACTCTCGACTAGAAATTTCTGATAATCAAATGCAGTTACGGTGACACATTGATAAATTAGTTTAGTCTAAAGTAGCGTGACTTTCATGTACGATGTACGTCAAGATACAACAACGAGATTAGCGCGATAGATTGTACCACTTTACGGAAGTTTGGTGGATATTTATATTTAATTAATTCTTGATGCCCCCAAAGTGAAAGATAATTAAATCAATAAATATTTTTTTACAGATATTAACCAATTATTTTCGATATGTTTCAGAATGCTTATCAACTCAGTTCTTTTTCTGGCAGTCTGGATCAGTTCGGCGATTGCGGAAGAATCGTCTCCCAGCGATGCTACGTCCGACAAACGAGCGCCTATGGGGTTTCAGGGTATGCGCGGAAAGAAAAATCTCATCCCCACTTCGTTAGAACATAATAAATTGTCTCAGAGAACGCTAATGGATTTTCAAGTAAGCTACGAAGAAAAAGCAGAAAAAGAAATCGTTTTACTTAATTCTTACTTTCTGAATTATTTATGAGAAACAAAATGTGTTAATTATAGGATACGCGTGATGATAAGGAGTCGAACGCGCCCGATATTGAAGATAATCTTTTGCACGAGTTTGAGAAACGGGCACCAATGGGATTTCAGGGTATGAGAGGGAAAAAGGATTATTTGACGCCTGATTTCGAAGATTCCTACTTTCGTAACGAGAAAAAAGCACCGATGGGTTTTCAGGGTATGAGAGGCAAGAAAATTGTTTCGGAGGATGAGTATTATAAACGAGCACCAATGGGATTTCAAGGAATGAGAGGAAAGAAGTCTTTGGAAGAGGTAAGCCTAAAAATATTCAATATTAATTAAATTATTAAATTATTGAAGAGAATTTAAGACAATAAAATGCATAATTCTTTAAATATTCTTTTGAAGTATGACATCGTACACAAATGGATGTTATAAATTATAATCTACTTTTTGCTCTATGAGTTTTCTGTTTTAAATGGAAATACGTAATTATCCCATAAACATTTAATTATAACATTTTTTAATCATCCACGAGCATTTAAATATAATCTATTTTTAATTAGCGATATTTACTTAAAATTCTTAATGTTACTTCTTATGTTATATTCTATTTTCCTGAAAATTGAATATATAAACAGGTGTTAGGTGAAATTGAAAAGAAGGTCGCGATGGACTTTTATGGTACGAGAGAGAAAAAGACATACGTTTTCGAATATCCGGAAGATTACGAAAAGAGACTTCTCGCAATGGGATTTCAAGGTACTCGTGACAAGTTGAAAGAATTTCCGGGAGAGTGGGAGAAAAGGGCTCCCATGTGATTTCAAGGGATGAGAGGCAAGAAATCATTGTTCAACGAGATAGAAGAACTTGAGAAACGAACTATCATGGGTTTTCAGGTTATTTGCTCAATTGTGAAGTTATATATCTACTATCCATTTCAAGGAAAAAGCGAAAATATACATAAAATAGTATATAATTTTGTCATAATTATTACAAAAAGAAATGAATAATATATACTTTGTTTTTAGCTCAATTTTTTAGTAATAGTATAAAAACACACACAAACAGGAAATATTTAAAAAGAAATGTTCATTAATTATTTATTTAATCATCTTTTCAGGGCATGAGAGGCAAGAAAAATGCTTTCGAAAATTACGTAGATTATTACATGGATCCTGAGATGGATTTCGACAAGAGGGCACCAATGGGATTTCAAGGAATGAGAGGCAAAAAAGATTCCGATAAAAGAGCACCTATGGGTTTTCAAGGCATGAGAGGCAAGAGAAATACGGGACAAAGATTTGATACCGGCATGGACTTCAACACCCGATCATCAAACGGATATCAAGGTAATCGATATAGTTTAAATATAATATAATATATAATAATCGAAAAAAAAAGAGAGAACATCTGTATAACCTGTTCATTGATATACATCATTAATATTACTTTTTGTAATAAATTACACATACGCATACTATAATTATTAGAAATTTAAAAAATAAATATTAATTGAGATCCTTTATTTCGAAAGTTATGACAAAAGTTTCATACATCTTGCAGTAATCAGCGTATATTAAAATTAGACTTACATTATCAATGTAGAATTTAACATAAGAAATTGTGAACATAAAAATTTCACGGAAGTTTCTCTTTCTATATATTTTTAAAAATTTTGAAAACACGTTTGTTCGATATTGACTCGAAATAAAAGAATATCCGCAAACGTGAATTTTATTATAGTTGTCGATAAGAATAAACGAATCAATTAGAATTTCTACATTTCTTCTCGATAAAATATTTTCTCTCGTTTTTATTATGCACTGTAGTATTTTGTAAAATAGTTCAGTGCTTCCTCAATAGCACGACTAGACGATAATCGATAGAATCTATCATTCCCAGCGAATAGAACGCATAACAAAAGTTCTCCAAATATTTATTTTATTATTTATGTATCTCCGAGCCATATTTTATATTGAAATAGCGGACAAGTTTTTTGTTTTGTTCTTTTTATCCTGCCGCTCATGTATACGCCGTGCAATTTTGAGCTCGAGAAGGTCACATTCGTCCATATTGTGTATTTCCCCGGAGCAGGAACGAGCAATAGAAGAAACGATCTATCCTCGTGCCAGCTCGAAAAACGATCGCCCTTCCGATATTTCGAGATGCGCGGTAAGAAAAATCCACGATGGGAATTACGGGGAATGTTTGTGGGGGTAAGAGGCAAAAAATGGGCGACAGCTCCGTACGAGGAGGACAGCCCGTTCATAAGTGTGTTTGATAACACCGAAAGGATTGGCGTGGATGGGGATTCGCCAGCAATATTAGGTAATTCAATCAGCTGATCAGCCAATTGTCAATCAAACATTTACGCCATGATTCTCTCAACTTTCGCCTATCTTTCATGCGTATTCTAATGGCTGAATAATTGTGCTTTTCTAATCTTTGTCGTGTGGAGCAGGCTTAAGATATAATGTGTTATAATATATAATGATCTATATTATTCTTGGATGAATTTCTTGATATAAGCGAAATATTATAACTATTCTGTATCTTTTTATCCTGCATGTAACACGTGAGGTATTTAAATGTCATCCAATGGTCTCTGTAATATTTATCGATATACTTTACTCCTGTCGATAAAGCTTATTAACGCTTCTCAATTCTATACTTTTACTACATTCTGTGATTAATACTTGTAATCGTCCGTTTACAAATTATTCCGCGCTATTGATGCTGTGAAAATATTTTTCCTTGCATACCGGGTACCAAGTGACATTTAAAACAAAGCTGCGGATTATCTTGCTAGCGACTGCGAGACAATAGCGACGCAAGGGTCTGCTTTAAAAGTTTCTCTGCGGCATATTGTCGTCGAAAAGTTACTCGCCATTGTGTACACACGATTGCACGAAATAACGATAAAATTCTATATTCTGCTAACTTTGGGATGACAGTTTGACTGGTCACAAAGTCCGGTTATCTGTCTATATACTCACGATTTATTAATCTTGAAATGTTTCATCAATCTTGGACTGTCTACATGTTTTATCTCTCTCCATATTTAAATTTTAATTAAAAAGAAATAATAACAAAAAATTAAAATAATACATTTTTCAAGGATTATGTCATTCAGATTATCACAAATAGTTTATCTATAAGGGCACATAATTTCTTCGTTATTGTCATAATTTTATTATCATGATATATCAATGTCATAATATAGATATCTTTTTATGTATATTAAATGTATAACGTATATATGTGTAAACATCAATGTATATTGCATTTTAAACGATAAATATGTGTGAATCAGATAGATAATATAATTAAGATAACGAGACTTTAAACTTGTGTGTATACAGTGCTAGGTCATTGGCCCTCGATGACATAAGAGTAAACACAACAACTCGCTACCCAAACGAATATGTATTTATATCGGGAATGAAAAAATCAAAATATACGCGTCTTGAAAATAATCACAAATATCATCTATGCATTAAATGTTGGGAAGTTTATTCAACGCAGTAATATATGTCTGGTGCAAGCCCTCGGTATCCGTTTGCAGATCATGCAATCATGTTGAAAAGTTTTCCTAAAGCACATAGCAACATTGTCAATAGCTTTCAATTAACTAAAAATCTGTCTAATGTTACAGTAACTGATGATTTCAAATTGCTATCGTTGGATGTGATCTCGTTATTCACCAACATCCCTATTGACCTTGCCATTGAGAGTGTCGAGAAAAGAATAGATCTCATTTCCAACAATTGTTCCATTCCTCCAGCGGAGTTTATCTTAGCGATAAAATTTGTTTTGAACTCTACTTTCTTTACATTTAATGGAACAATTTATAAACAAACTTATGGCACTCCTATGGGTTCCCCATTATCTCCCATCATAGCTGACATAGTCCTTCAAGATTTGGAAGAGAAAGCTCTTTCAACATTGACTTTCATTCCATCCTTTTACTTTAGATACGTTGATGATATCGCAATGACTGCACCATTTTATCTTATGGATCACACAGTTAATGTTTTTAACTCCTTACATCCTAAAATCCAATTCACCTTAGAAATTGCTGACAATGATAAATTGAACTTTTTAGATATCTCAATACTTCTAATTAACAACCGCTTAGTAACTGACTGGTTCCATAAACCTACTTTTTCGGGTCGGTATCTTAATTTTCTTTCTCAACATCCGACATGCCAAAAAAGAGGTACCATTATTGGCCTTGTTGATAGAGCTTTCTTACTTTCACATCCACAATTTCACCAAAAAAAAAAAAATTTGGACTTTATCATAAAAATTCTCCTGGACAATAACTACCCATTAGATTTCATTTTTCAAACAATTTTTAACCGTCTCAAATTTCTGATCTCTAGTAGGGGCCTTCCAACTTACGATGAGGATGTCAATAATAAGATTGTCTCCTATTTTACAATCCCTTTCGTCCATACCATCTTCGCAATATTCCTTCCATTTGGTGTATTGTAAATCTTACTGACTCCGTCAGAAGAATTGAGTGAGAAAGCTTACGAAACCCATAACCCTATTAAAACTATAACAAATATTACAAATTCTGATTGTAATTAGCATAAACAATAATCAATAAATGGCTGTCATGAATAATTTGTAACTACATATTTTCTAAACACATTATAAGTACCCATAAATTTATATTCATTTAGCACATATATAAATATCTCAACTTAAACTGCTGGATAATAATAGATTATATTTTTTTAAAAAATGAGAGAGAGAGAGAGAGAGAGAGAATCCACTATCTTAATAAGAGCAATTTAATTTTTTACACGATATTATTCGCTCGTAACAGCATTTTACGCTGTATATAGTGACGTAGAATTTAAAATGCGTCTCTCGCATGAGATAAAACACGCGTTTATCTTCGAACACATAAATTTCGCACGAAACGGACTATCATCAAATTGCGGCTGATACTTTAATTAAAATATATTAAAATACTATGCCATTGTAAAACATATGCATTTATTCTATCTAGGATCTAAGGTAGATAGTGCAATTTTTTTCTGAGATCACATATAAATTTTTAAACATAAATATAAAATCTATGTTAATATATTTGAATCTATAATAAAACCTAAAAACAAATTTATAATTAAACTTGATAAAAAATGGCTAATTAAAGTAATTCTCAGTTATTAATACAAAAGAATTATATTAAACAAAGTAAATACAGATAGAGATCTAAAAGAGTATAGCTATTCCGAGTTTCATCCAATCTTCAGATAGAATCACAAATAGAGCTGCCTGACAAGACCTTGTAAACGCGATACAACCAGCAATCAATGAAAATTGATATCCGATATATGGCACATACTGAAAGGGTTAAAGCTACGCACGTGAGTTACGAAAACTTCACCAAAAAAAAAAAAATTTGGACTTTATCATAAAAATTCTCCTGGACAATAACTACCCATTAGATTTCATTTTCCAAACAATTTTTAACCGTCTCAAATTTCTGATCACGAGTAGGGGCCTTCCAACTTACGATGAGGATGTCAATAATAAGATTGTCTCCTATTTTACAATCCCTTTCGTCCATACCATCTCGCACAAATTTAAAAACATCATAAAAGATCTTGACGTCAGGCTTTCTTTAGAAATACAACTGTTGGTTCGGTGATTACTGATCATAGATTAGAGTTTGACCATGATTTTGACTGGCACCATGTCCGGATTTTAGACAGCGAAAAATATCTAAACAAACGATTGATATCTGAGATGTTGTTTATAAGGAGACAAATAAATGGTCTGAATCTGCAAACGGATACCGAGACCTTGCACCAGACATATATTACTGCGTTGGATAAACTTCCCAACATTTAATGCATAGATGATATTTGTGATTATTTTCAAGACGCGTATATTTTGATTTCTTTATTCCCGATATAAATACATATTCGTTCGGGTAGCGAGTTGTTGTGTTTACTCTTATGTCATCGAGGGCCAATGACCTAGCACTGTATACACACAAGTTTAAAGTCTCGTGAAACATCTTAGAGATAACGTGGTCTTTAAAGCTTTACAAATTAATAATTGTATCGCGTCATACTCTTTATTGGGATACATCTGCTGCATTTGTATGTAAGTTCTGCACTATCACTGTTTACCCTTGAGCGCTCTTAACATCTTATTGCACGCTCCTACAGGAGTCTCGACTTTTCGGGTTTCGCATATCAACATGCCGGCAAGCCTTCATAACATTTTACGATGTGAACTTCCTGGCCTATCACCCGGGGAGTTCATCATCCCGGGACGCCTGTTTGATCGATTTCGTGCGTTTGCAATTTAATTTTTAATCACTGACTGCGATATTTTTTTATACATATATTTTTTATTGTATTTATTTATTCTTGTATTTATTATTTTAATTGCGCTGAAGATGGCCACAAAAAAGGGCCGAAACATTCGCTTTATTATCATATGTTGTTTAGTATCACTTTGTACCCGTTTTAATATGAAATTTGTCAATTGCCTTCACACAATTAATAAATCTCTCAACGTGATACTTGTGGCTCATATTGCCACATATATAAATATCTCAACTTAAACTGCTGGATAATAATAGATTATATTTTTTTATTAAAAATGAGAGAGAGAGAGAGAGAGAGAATCCACTATCTTAATAAGAGCAATTTAATTTTTTACACGATATTATTCGCTCGTAACAGCATTTTACGCTGTATATAGTGACGTAGAATTTAAAATGCGTCTCTCGCATGAGATAAAACACGCGTTTATCTTCGAACACATAAATTTCGCACGAAACGGACTATCATCAAATTGCGGCTGATACTTTAATTAAAATATATTAAAATACTATGCCATTGTAAAACATATGCATTTATTCTATCTAGGATCTAAGGTAGATAGTGCAATTTTTTTCTGAGATCACATATAAATTTTTAAACATAAATATAAAATCTATGTTAATATATTTGAATCTATAATAAAACCTAAAAACAAATTTATAATTAAACTTGATAAAAAATGGCTAATTAAAGTAATTCTCAGTTATTAATACAAAAGAATTATATTAAACAAAGTAAATACAGATAGAGATCTAAAAGAGTATAGCTATTCCGAGTTTCATCCAATCTTCAGATAGAATCACAAATAGAGCTGCCTGACAAGACCTTGTAAACGCGATACAACCAGCAATCAATGAAAATTGATATCCGATATATGGCACATACTGAAAGGGTTAAAGCTACGCACGTGAGTTACGAAAACGCGGTATTCGCGGAATATTACGTCAGTGTGAGAGAGGAAAGATATCGCTCTTTTGATATAATAAAATCCGAAATCAATCCGATAGCCGCGCGTGCCAGCGGATTAGATGTTGTTCAAGATTGAAACGTTTAATTTAATCGATGAATTTAAACTGTAAATTCAACCGACAAATTTGAACGGTAAGAGCCGCAATCAAAACACGAGCGAGAATAAGCATCGTCGCGATCAGCCGATCAGCGCGTGATCGCGTGATCAAAACAAAGAAAAAGTGTGACAAACACCTAGATTCTCGAACATTCGGCGCCGAAAATCTCCTATTATGGAAATCGGTCGGCCGCGACTCTGTTCCGTCGTTATTCAGTCTGCCTACGACAACGATTTATATATATAAAATATTCCCTTATATTTTGCTCCGACAATTATCGTCAAGATTATTTTCAGACAGGTTCCAAATAAATGTTTAAGATTGGCGGAGATATTGTATAATTGTGTGTGACTATATGACTGAATTATATTAAATATATTTCTGTGTCACATTGATCAATTAGAATTTGACATATAAAATATTGTTTAAGATTGGCATAAATTTTATTTTAACAGAGTTGAAATAAAAAATAAATGTCTTTTTAAAGATTGCTATTTAACATAACTTCGCGATCACAAAAAAACTTTTTTTGTGATCACGCGTCTATGATTTGTGTCTTGCGACCTGCATACATTGCGAAAAAATATGTTATATTAACGGTGTAATTAGCGGAATTAAATAAGTCAAAAATATATTTTGTCGGTTACGATTATACACACAAGCGAAGTCTTTCAAAGGATGCCTGCATCAGTATTATTGTTAATTCGTACAGGGTGTAATGTAAAACGCAACTGTCAATAGTAGTGATATATTCTTGAATGAATTTAGAAAAGATTAGTTCTTAACGCAAAAAATTTGATTCAAGATCGTAATTAATCACAATTTTTGAATT